TGCCCAACCACCACGGCCACCTCCGGAGGCAAGATCCTGGAAAGGCGGTTTTTAGGCGGTTTTTAAAAAGGGGTCGTTCATCTACATTGCTTTTGTTCGTTTTTGTTTCTTTCTTTTTCTGTTGTTTGCTTGGTTTGTTTTTGTTTCGTCCTGTTGTTTGCTTTGTTTGTTGCATGTGTGTTTGTCGTTTGCTTTGCTTTCGTTGTTGCTTGTTGTTTGTTTCTTGCATTGTTTTTGTGTTTAGTAAAATTGAAGAACCCAATGCAAACCCGCGCCCAACGGTTTTTAATAAAACAAACCCAGTGGGAGTATAGGGTTTCTCTCAAACTCAGACCCCGAGCCCTCTCAAAAGGTTGGTTTTCCCGTTGGCCTCTTCAAACTCCCAGAAAGGTATCACACAACAGAGACCTATGGGTCTGTCCAAAAGTGAGGTGTGGTTTTACAGGAAAGCCCAAAAGAAACTATCCCTTTGCGGGGTCCACTCTGTCCACTGGAAGGGGTCAAGCGCCGTAGCCCGATTTCGAGAGACCAACCCAACCCCACTTCAGCGTCTCTCGTGCAATCATGCATGCTAAACCCAGCGTTTACCATCAACCACTTTGAAAGGAAGCTCTAAGCGCATCCTCAATGAGCTTCTCCGCACTTTGAAAACTAGAAACGCTAAGTTTGCATATCCTTGAGGTCTGCTCGCAGTGCCCGAGAGACTTTCAGCATCCGCATTGCTCATTGACGCCTCAGGGGCCTCTCTTGTCTCCTGAGGCAGGCGGGCCTCTCTGGAGCGCAATATGCAGGACTATTCGCGGAATGTGGGCAGGCTCTCGGATTCTGAGAGAATTCAAACGTGCCAGGCAGGGGGGACGCCCAAACCCAAATTTATGTGTTATTGTTGAAGAGTAAGTTGCCAATAGAATTCCTTGCTCTGCGCTGCTTGCCTGATGCAAATGCCTCGTGCTTTTGTGCACCCTGCCTACCTGCAGGATCCGGCCGGCGCTGCATGAACGCGGCTTGAGGCTGAGCAGCGTCTTCCAGTGGCAACCTCAGCTGCTTTCAGGGCCCAGCTGGCTGGCCCGTAACCTTGGAAAGCCAGAAGGAGGGGCCAGTACGAAACCAATTTAAAGCAGAGGAAACTTGGAGAAGTTCGACATTGATCATGTTTGACAGAGCCCTCACTCGGATTTTGGGCGTTTGGAGCAATGTTTTTCGTCCTGGAAACCAGGGAGTAGCCCATTCAGAGGGACAAAAGAGGATGCACGACTACGCGGGCAGCTCTCCCCACCTGTGTTTCGTCTATTGAACCGCCGATGTGTGGCGTGTCTTCATAAAGCACTACAGTACTCCTCATGACAAAGCAGCACTGGGCGAGCTTTTCTCAAGCCCTGCTTGCGTATGGTGAGTCACTTGCTTGCACCGATCGTCCTTGCCGCGCCCGATGCCTGCAGCCATTGCTTGAGAGGATCAGATCAGTGCCATGGCGCGAAGGCTCGGGTCTTTGAATTGTCAGGCTGTGTGAACAGCAACAGAGTGCGCTGGTGCGGGCTGGTGAGGGATGGTGCGGGCTGGTGCTACTGGTGGCTGGCTCAGGGTCATGCACTCGTCCTGAGCCTGGGAGGCATGCAGCGGTCCTGCTTTCGTTGATCGCCTGCTGGGGCACAGCCTTCATCCCGCAGGCCTCGTGTGAAGCGCAAAGGTGTGATGTCGGCCTGCCGCCCCTTCAGGTTCGACCCACACACAGCGCAATCAGTCCGGGCCACAGTGCCATCATTTGCAAGCCCATGTCAAGAAATATTGTGAAACAGGAAGCTACCGTCATAGGTGTGCAATTGATGCTCCTGAGTTGCTTGGTACCCACAAGATGTGGCACTCTGAGTCTGAGGGAGCTCGTATTTGAGGTGTTGTAGCGCTGGGGTCTCCTGCGTGGGCAGTGACGGCCGGCTTTGAGGAGCGCCCGAGTGTTAAGCCCCAAGCTGACGAAGTTGCCCAACCAAGTTTTTCACGTGATGGATGACCAAGCCCCGTGCACAATGTGAGGACTACAACCAGCTGAATGTGAAAGCTGCGAAGAAAGTTGTCGAAGCTGCCCCCACGACACCGGACGATGGGCCCTCCGAGGCTGTCTCAGTCATAGGCGGGGAGGGATCTGCGTGGCACATGTGTTGCATGGTGCACGTTGACAGGTCATGACACTTCTTTACACTGATAATTTGGAAAACACATGCAACATTGGCCAGCTACGGCAGCAATGGCTTGCCGATCCAACACTGAAACCCATATCATAATATTATTGCCTAAGTCCAGAACCCCAAGATCATAATGTATTGCAGCCTTACCTCGAACCCCCATCCCAGCTCAAAGTTTGCAAACTTGGCGGATCCAGGTGAGTTTGGGAGCACCGACAGTGCCTTGTGCCTATGCGAGGTGGCGCGGGCTTCTTTATCCTTATCGCGCTGTTCATTTTCGGCGTGGCCATAGTGGCCACTTGATGCCGTCGGGGATATGGATGTCCTGGAATGAGGGGGCCTTTTTTGGATAGATTTGAAGTTTAAACCACCTTCCAATCAAGCATTCAGGGTGATCAAATTGTGGGCTGTGTGGCACCAATCCAGGGTCCCTGAATTTGCTTAGCTCAAGTCCTTTCGAAGTGGACCAACAGCAGTGTCCATTGACAATGAGCAGAAGTGGGGGATTCTGGCGGTAGATCGTATTGAATTGCTCTTGCCCTCTGCGTATGTGTCAACAGACACTAAGGATGCTTCCGAATCGGTGGCTTCATGCTGGTTTCCTTTGAAGCCGCAACCCCCCCGCCAGGTTGACGGACTCCACTGGTTACGCATGTTTGCCTGTACCTTCGAGGTCGGCAAGCGAGATCCCAACATGCGCGATGGTGAGCGCATTTGATGGCGCAGTGTTTCACCATTTGTCTAGGGGTTGTTTCCCCATTCTTTTCAACCATCGTTCTTTTCAAAAACCATCTATTCTCCCTGGGTTTCCGCAGGTATTCTGGAAAGAAGGCTCCCTGGAAAGAATGGGGGAAGGTACCCTTAGATTTTAGAGAGCATGCCCGGCGCTGCGACCCGAAATGTTCGATTAAGGTCTGCATGTGTTTGGTGTAATGTTGGATAGCGATTAGTATAATGGGAGTGAATACAGAAAGAAAATCTCAAAATGATTCACTCTCCTGAAAAAGCAAAAAGTGCAGGTAGTACAGAAAAAAGAATCGGCCCGAAATCCCGAAAATATGTTCCCTTCCAAGAATGGACTATTTTTGAGGGTTGAAACGTTGGAGTCCAACGCCACGCTGCAAGGGCAGCCTGCCAAGAAGAAAGCCCCGCTGTTCTCAGGTAAAGCCAGACACCAACTTCCTTCAATCCCTTTACTAGAAGATGCACCCTGACAAATTTTCAAGGGGGTGGCACACGGAACCCCCAGGAAGGCAATAATGCAGTTTGTTTAAGGGTAGGGAATTGTGAAAAAAAGTGGCCAGGGCAGCCTGCCAAGAAGAAAGCCCCGCTGTTCTCAGGTAAAGCCAATGCTAGACCAATACTAGTGAGTCAGCTCAAAGGAATACTGAACCAATACTAAACCAATTCTAAACTGTAGTGAGTCAACTGAAAAGAATACTGAACCAGTACTGAACCAATACTAAACCAATTCTAAACTGTAGTGAGTCAACTGAAAAGAATACTGAACTAATACTAAACCAATTCTAAACCGTAGTGAGCCAGCTCAAAGGAATACTAAACCAATTCTAAACAATACTTACTGGAAGACTACTCAGGCAGGTCCCAGTCTGACCCCCATTTTGTTTTTGGGGTTTTCGCTGTTGACCCTCCCCAATTCGTTTGAGGGGGGGGGCCTTTACTAATCACTCTCCAACATTATCTTGTTTCATCTAGGAATGGTTGCACTGGGCTGCGCAAAAAAAGCC